TAGTGAAAAGAATTTTACTATTATTTAATGGATCGTTTTGGAGTAAATTTATGTTTACTCTGTTTGGATTTATAAAATTGGGGGTTTTTGCAACAACCAGGGGCGGAGCCCCATATGGTCCAGTGCAGGCACTTGCCTGCACTGAACTTTGGGCTCAGGCCCATTCCTTTTTTTTTTTTTTTTAAAATTTTGAGAACCCCATATTTGGAATGCAGTGGTGGGATGGACCACAGTTTGTTGAATTAGTACGCTAAAGTTTGCCCGCACTTGCCTATTTGTTGAATTAGTATGCTAAAGTTAAGTGTAACATGCACTTGCAATATGACTAATCCAAGTTTTATCTTCCCGACTTCGATGGGATGCATCTATGAATTGACAGAGTTTTTATGTAACAACGAGATATTCAAGTTTTTTTTTAAGACAAAACGACAATATATTCTAGTATAAAAATGTGTTATTCTTTTTTTGAATAAGGTTCTACGAGACAAAAAAGCAATACATCCTAATATAGAAATCCAGTTTTTTGAATGAGATAATTTTTTAAGATTGATAATAAAGTTATTGTACAACGATATCAAATTATGAAAACTTGTAAAGAACAAGTGTAACTTATAAACTACGTCATTTTTAGTATTTTTGTAATATTGTTTTATTTTTATCATCGTTAAAAAGTTCTACATCTATTAAATTGTGTCCGCACTGAATGAATTTCCTGGCTCATCCCTGGCAACAACTGAGCTAAGTTGCATAAGAAATAATATTTCTACATTTTTGCATTCCAATAATTTTGCTGTAGTTCCATTGAAAATTTTAACTTGAATTATTCTTCACTTGCTGCTAAACTTGGATACCATTTTTTTGATTTCAACCCATTTTGATTTGGTATTGTTTCTGGTGCTTCTTGTGATCAATGGACTTCTCTATAAATCAAGACTAAAGACAAGAAACAGCGTGTTATATCTATTGATGAAAAAATGTGAATGTGAAAAACCAGTCCTTGTGCAGAAGCTGCAGTTTTAGTTATGGCTGGTTTTTTTTTACAAATGACTGCAGGAGAAATTGAGGCATGCATAAAGTTTAAATTTTATGTACTGTACATTTGAAGTGATCTAGTTTTCGCCTATGACCCTTTGTCACAGCATATTATATTTTTAGAGGTATACTTCCTTAGTCGGTAGTTCCATCACAACTTTTGTGCGGGGTGTCTTCCAAAAATAAATAATCAAATCTCGCACAAACAGATGCATGTTTTGCATTTTTTTCATTTAATATCTTGTATGACTGAAAATCTCTTCGCCGTATTGGAATCCATGTGATTGAAGAAAGACTATTATCCCGTTAGTGCTATGTTATGAATAATTTCACTTGTTTTGAATCTATAGCCATTCCTAAAAAACTATAGCTAAAGCATTTGACTCTTTCACCTTTCCTGTTTCAGTGATGAAGGAGTCTTTTACGCATTGGATCTTGGCGGGACAAATTTCCGTATGTTGTGTGTGCAATTAGGAGGCAAAGCTGGTGGTATTGTTCATCAGGAATTCGCTGAGGTATCAATACCCCATGCATTGATGGGCGGGACTTCAGATGTAAGCAATTATTTTCTTTATATAATCACCTTTTTTTTTTGTCCATTCACTCAATATCTTAATTTCCAGATTAATAGATTTTAGGCACTCTTTGACCATATCGCGGAAAAACTAACATTTTGTTGCTGAAGAAGCACAAAAATTTCATCAACCTCCCGGAAGGGAGAGGGAACTCGGTTTCACTTTCTCATTCCCTGTGATGCAAACTTCAATAAACTCTGGTACTCTTATTCGATGGACAAAGGGATTTTCTATAAGTTACATGGTAATTCCTGTTCCTCCAGCTAATTCCTCTTCTTTTATTTATACCTCATTCGTTTAAATAGTTCTATGCTAACTGAAATTGCAACCGCCAATTGTTGATTTCTGTAGAATCTTTTGTGAACTTTACACCTCTCTGGTAAATATTAACTGATCCCATAAATGACCAATTGATTATGTCTCGATAATAATAGGTCAGAAACCTTGCTCTCATCATTTTTTTAGTAATATTTTGTTACTCCTGACTGTTTCGTATATTATATTTTAATTTGATGATGTGCATTACGTCAAACATTGGAACCCTTCTCTGCCGTTTCTTCTGCCTCGTTCCTTTTTGGAGGAGAAAAAAAAAATTCTACTCTTTAGAGGTTGTTTCGGTATAAATTTCATTTGCTGTCTAGTAGATCCTTGTAAGAAATATCTGCATTTTTCATTGCAGAAGAATTGCAGAATCCTCATTTTGACGAACTTTAGATGCATATACATTTTCTGAGCACTACATTAAAGATTGTATTTTTTCTGATAGAGTTCTCTTGTAATGATTGCACGGATCCTACTCACTCAAAAACTTTTGCTGTAGCTTCACACTGCTATTATTTTCGTCTTTGACACATACATAAGGATATGCTTTATTTGGTGCAGGACTCGCCAAAACCTAATGTTCCAGGTCTGCTAATTATTTATATCTGATGACAGGTTGGACAAGATATCGTAGCTGAATTTGCAAAAGCCTTGCAAAAGAAAGGGCGCTGAAACGCAGGTTGCTGCTCTAGTAAGCAAGTTTTCACTGATCCTGGTGGTGAACATAATTTGTAATAGCAGCATGTTTGTCTCATCTTAAAAGTAAGTTTGACCTTAAATAAATTATTTAGTTAAAACTTTTACTTATTAGAAAATTTTTTAAGCTTAGCCAAACATGAACTGAGACTTGATGCAAGAGGATTTCGTGTTAAGAGCGTCGTTCTTCGTCTGTTATATTTTAGTAGAGGTATAAAATAAATTTTCGGATTTTGATATTTACATCACGTATATGTTAGGTGAATGATACAATTGGAACATTAGCTGGAGGTAGATACACCAAAAAAGATGTTGCTGTTGCTATAATATTGGGCACTGGTACAAACGCGGCTTATGTAGAGCGTGCCCAGGCAATTCCAAAGTGGCATGGTCCTCTACCTAAATCTGGGGAAATGGTTAGCAGTTTATCCAATGCTTAGTGGTATCATCAACTATTTTTTCTTTAAAGAAATCAAGACAATCTGTTAGTGTTGAAGTAAATCTTTCTTAATGCAGGTTATCAATATGGAGTGGGGTAACTTCAGGTTACTGCATCTTCCATTGACAGAGTATGACCATTCAATGGATGTCGAAAGTTTAAATCCTGGTGAACAGGTGATTATTTACATGTGATTTGTATTTGTTATGCATTACCGAACATGACTAGATAGTATAATGATAAAATTTTAGATTTTTGTTTCTTCCATAATATTTTCAACACCTTCAAATCTACCTTGCGACCTTTTAAAATTATTGATATTGTTTTCCTGGACTGGATAGAGGTGTACTTCATCTGATGGATATCTTTAATTATTTTTACAGATATTTGAGAAGATAACTTCGGGTATGTACTTGGGAGAAATTTTGCACAGGGTTCTACTCAAGATGGCCGAAGAAGCTGCATTTTTTGGTGACGAAGTTCCTGCTAGACTTAAAATTTCATTCGTATTGAGGTATGCCCTGAAGACTGTAGATGATCTTACAATTTATTAAACTATTTGCCCAACTCTGTATTCCATAAATCGATGGCTGTTTAATTGCTGTGCTGACCTTTTCTGCACAACTCATTACTTCCTTCTTCGTATATTCTTTCCACTTGTATCTTTTCTGAGTTTATTTTCTACATTTTGATGTCACATATGGAGTCTATACTTTTCAAAAAATTTAAATTTGGAGCTATAAAATATGCAGGACGCCTGATATGCATCACGATACATCCTCTGATCTGAGGGTGGTGGGGCAAAAATTGAAGGATGTACTAAAGGTATGTTAAATGTTTGGTGTTTCTTGATTTTGTATTGTGTTAAAGAACGTATATACATCTCCGTTTTCAGATATCTAATAGCTCCCTCAAAAAGAGGAAAACCATAGTCAAGCTCTGCAATATTGTCTCCACACGTGGGGCTCGACTTGCGTTTCCTGGGGTTTTTGGTGTCAGGAAGAAAATGGGATGGGATTCTTTGAAGGTGCCAGAGAAAACGGTCATAGCCATGGATGGTGGATTGTACGAACACTAGGCAGAGTATAGAGAGTTCTTGAAGAATACATTGCGAGAGCTAGTCGGAGAAGAGACTGCATCAAGCATCGTGGTCGAGCACTCCAATGATGGTTCGGGCATTGGTGCTGCTCTCTTTTGCAGCCTCTCACTCCCTTTACCTCGAAGACACGTCTTGTAAGTAAACAAAAGTAACTCATCTTTAAATTTCTTGCTATTCAATGCCATTCTTTTTGTCAAGATTTCGATTTATTACAATATTTTCTTTATAGATTTTTCGGGCCATTATGTTATGCCTACATTTCATAGTTTAGGAGTGATACGAACATTAAATGCAAATGTGACAACCTAGAAGCTGCCTCTGGTTGGATGCCAATTTTGTCCATTAAAATCTTTTTCGTACAACCATTTGAGTGACAATAAATTTGAGTAATTGGTTCTAAATTGATTTATATAAATCAATGCTGCTTGAGTGAGTCAGTACATGGTTCTGAACTTGAGCAATCTTAGGATTAGTTCAAGGTAGGATAGTTCTAAAATAATCTAAAATTTGTCAATTATCATATTCCTTGAACCTCTAGATCCCGATTCAATAAAACTTGGATACAAGAAAATAGCTATAAAAACTTATAAATATACTATTGAATGGCAATACCCAAACAAGAAAACTTGTGCAAACACATGCAAGTTCAAGTTCTTACTCTCCACATGACGAAAAGGTCGAAAATAAAGAGATTCATGCATCCTCCAAAATGTTAAATCACAATATAACCAATTTTCTTGGGTTAACATAGAAACTGTTTAGAAAAGTTGAGAATCAACACCAAACAGTCTCCCTGCAATCCCTATATAGTGCTCGTTTTTGCAGTGTTGTTACTGCATCATTTCGGTGAAGTTTCAAGGAAGCTTTCTGTTTTCCCCCCACCTGCAAAGAACAATGATCCTATTCGATTAGAACTATGTTATCTCATAGTGGCATGTTTGGAAGAACAGAACTGGATTAAGGATAAACAAGAAGCTAATATCTAGTCTATTCTAAAGTTGTATTCTGTTCAGTATTGTGTATCAAACATTGTCTAACAAAATTGATTATCCATGGGTGGAAGGCAACTCACGGCATAGTGTAGGAAGTTCGGAGCTTTTCAGTACACGCAATCTCTTCACACTTGATACGAACATGCTGCAAAACACATTAAGAAAACAGATTACATTTGAAAAGTTGGAAACATACTATATAGTTCTGAGAGTCTAATACTCGCCTTGATTAAAAATGAAACTGGAATTGTTAAAATTTCTATTGAGGCAGGGAATTTAGGTTCCAAGAAAGCCTAAACCAAGTAGAAGAATAATAAAACGATAAGATGCTTACTGCCAAGGGACATCCCCAATAAGCATCCTGTCCCCTTCATTATCTTCATAGACTAAGGTATATTCACCTCTTCCGCCCAATAAACCCGTAATTGCCTTCCCTCCGTCTTCCTCGTTCTTGATTCCACCAGCCGAAAAATTGCTTTGAGCTACACACATAAATGGAAAACAAAACTGAGCAACCAAATATCTTTCAGATTGCTCGTTCTACTGAAAGATCTAACGGCGTAAAAATGGGAAGGGAAAGCGTAGCCATGGCAGTGGAAGAAAATTGTGGCCCGGATAGGCCAATGGACACCGCTAGGAAGATCTAAAGAAACTACGTCTAGCCGACCCCAAATTAGCAGTCTATAAACAAATTAACAATCTCTCGCCTAATGAAATGGAAAGACTATATATGATGGAAACGTAGGGAAAAATTATAAAATTATGCATAGATAACCTGCAAGAAGGTCTCTAAAGAGTTCATCAACAGCAGAGGAGAGATTTTCATAACTGTCGTGTTCTTTAAGATTGACTTTTCTTCCAATGGGAACTCCGTCCATGTTGATCTTCACAAGCAAGCTTTGAGGGGTATTTTCAATAGCTTTTTCCCCAGAAATTCTGCTGCCAGCTGCATTCTGCAACTCGGAGACAGGTTTAGAAGAATTTCCGTTTGCAAGGTTCTTTCTAAATGAACGAATAGGAGGCCATCCCACGACCGATGTAGGAGCAATTCTATTGTTCGTCAACAGAAATAACACAAGTTAATTTAGAGAAACTAAACAAGCTAACTTCATTTTCCAAAAATATATCAAAATCACATACATCTTAATCTTCATCAACAACAAACTAGTCTGGTTCATACCATAATTGGAGTCGATTACATGAATCATTTGACACTCCCAATTGATTAAAATCAATTATGAAACAAAATACACATAAAACAAAGGGTTACTTGGTAGACAACACATGAAGGAATTTTATACAACTAATTTGTGAAGCTTAATTATTGCTTTTGTGCGGAGCCCTTGGACCAAAATTGCATTAAGGACAGGTTATGAATTAACACTTGTAATTTTGGTTTCATCCTAATTTGTCTAATAAATAGGGAACTGCCATTAGGGAATTTCAATTATCATCAAAGAGAGAAAGGGTTAAGAAAAATAGGGTGTGCGACTTCTCTTGTAAACTCTTTTCATAATAATGAATTATTGCAACGGTAAAAGATGACGTAGTCTAGCATTAAAGTTATTAATCTTGCACGTTCTTGTGGTGTACCTATTTTCATTCTGCGATTTTGCTCCAAGTACTATAGAATTAGAATCTCTAATTCTCAACATATACGACTACTCGCATGCTCTAATAAATATTAGGCTAATGAATATTGACTATAATAATAAAAAATGAAAGGTCGCCTATTATCAAGACACAGGATAGCATGGATAAAAAACTCAAAAGAAGTTAAAAAATTTGGTACATAGTAATAAATAGATGGAGTTTCGCATATCTAACAATGAATCGTCCCGCAGAGTCGAGAAACAAGACTAAACAGTAAAATGTATTGTACATAACAGACAAAGAAAATGAAGCAAAATGCATGGACCACCTTTTCTGAGCACTGCTGCTGTTGGGCAGAGCTGTATTAGCAGCTGAAAATGTCTTCTTTTCTGCAACAGTATAATTGGGCTGTGAGGATTCCTTCACCTGGTCATGTGCTTGGAGAAACGGCGTCGTTGGCTGCTGAGATTGCACTTGGTAGCCTGAAGAAGATGTCCATGGAAAGAAATAATCAAAAGATTCTCTTGAAACATGGTTATTTTTTATGGTCCAGTCTCCAATTGGTGGACCAAGCCTTAGCTCAAGCTGTTTTTCCTCTGAAGATCCATGGCTTGTTTGTTTTTCTTGTGCACTTATTGTAAACCATTCTTTCTCCTTTGGAATCAAATCCAGTAACTGAGGACACTCTTCATCTTTTCTTGAATAACCCTCCATTTTTTTTTTCACAAGAAGATGAAACTAAAAGGAAAACCAAGTTGTGTAATCAAGAATTTCAGCTCAGTGATGAAAAATGGAGCACAGAGATCTTTCTGCAAAAGAAGGGATTACACAGCATAAGCTTTTAGACAGAAAGTTTAAAAGAAAAATAAATAAGGGAGTTGTAAAGATATAAAGGATTTACCTTGAGCGCTTAACCATAAGAAAATCAAGAACTGCCCACATACTCAAATCATCAAATCAAAGAAACCCAAGAATATCTTGAAAATCCACCAGAGAAAGAACAGAGAACAGAAATATAAAAACCCCACAAAAACAAAGAAACTCTCAAAGAAAAAAGCACGCTTAGAGAAGACTCTCTCTCTCTGTGTATGTGTATATATATAATATAAACACAGGAGTGGACACGAATACAGAAGCAGATAGGTAATTTTCACTCGAAGCACCTTCAAAACAGGGAATGGAATTAGAGAACAATGCACGCAACCGCACACCTCTCAAAGTTATACTGTTGTTCAGCTAAGGAAGCAAAGCATGCTGACCTATCTCTCTAGAAAATACAGATAGAGAGAAAGAGAGAGATATGTCATATACTGTATGTCTATATCTATAGCCTCAGGTATCAAAACACTGCCCCAAAAACATCCCCCTTTGCTCAATTTGCGTCTTTGCGAAGAGACATAGAGTGAAGATAGGATTTAACAATAGAATGGATTAGTGAGTAGCTTGTAATCAAGATTTAGAAAGGTGGAATGCGGAATTAGAGGGCCATATCTAAACTAGATTATCGATAGATCTTGCATAACACATTATTTATTCTTGGATCGCAACTACCACTCACCTATTAGTCACACATTTTACAAATTGTAATTATGTCCAAGGAAATTATATTAGTCACTAAAATTAAATAAAATATCATCGTTTACTTTTTCATCTATGTCCGCTTAAGTTAATTACGTTTGGCACATAAAACATTGACATCAATTAACGTTCCTTGTGTTCGCTTCATTTGAGTCTCATTTTTCAGAAGTCATTTTTCATCCCATTTTCCTACTAAAATTATTTTGCACGTGAATTTAAGTTTTTTCTCTATTTTTTAATAATATATTCTAAAAAAATCTTTTTTTTACAAAATTTATTATTAAACGGGGCTCAAATAGGCTTTATTTTATTGTAAAATTACAGATTTTCAAATCATTAGGGGGTTTAGTTCTTTTTCTTTCCCTTTTTAGGACAGGGATGTGGGGGACAACTCGTGATCTTAAGGTCAAATCAACGGAGCATTTTGGGAAGATTGCAAGAGTCGTATCGTACATGTAATGATTCTTTGTCTTGACATTGGATGTTTTATGGCAAGTTAGAGAAAACGCACCACACGAAAATATATCGTTGTCCATGTTACGAAAATTGGGTTCGGACTAAAAATTTTGTGAATAGATCTTACATTTTTTGTGATCATCTATTTGGTTTTTATTATTTTACCTTTTTAGATGAATGATTGGATCAATTTATAAACATTGATGTTCTCCCGTAGAATCGGTGCTGTTGTCCACATATAAGGTAGCCTCCACTCTCATCCCCTAGAGCACCACATGCCTATGGTTTCGGATGCTCTTGCTATGAAAGATTTGAATTGAGAATAATTAGCTAAGCATAACCCTAGTTGGAATCTAACTTTCCCCTATATCTGTATCTGGCAAGTAATCAACATCACAATTCTGGTTTGATTACAATTAAAAAGACAAAATTTGAGTGCTTTAATTTTTTTTTCCTGACTTCTTTTAATTATCACTTGGAAGGACTTCAAATGGCGTGCCCCTCCGATGTGCAATGGAGGATGCTAACCTAGGTCACGAATCTTTGTGACTTTAAAAAAGTTGTGTAGACTCGAACCATTGATGTTGACTACCAAAATTAACGGAAATGCAACTATGATAGCGAAATAAAAAACGTCAATATAGAGTAACACCAATATGCTGCAGGTCAGTTTCGTAAAAAGAACAAATTGGTGGGTTGGTGGGTAAGCCGTATGCATATCGTGGTACAGAAATCAATCAATTTCTTGGTTCATCCTTGGCCATTTTGCAAGCTGGTAGGGCATGAGGAACATTGCTTGCCTGTGGATAGGGGCTGCTTCTGCTTTTTCTATAATGCAATTTTCCACGTTTTCAACATCTGATTTTGGTCTATGTAGGTCCTCTCCATTGATTTACGCCATCTCTGATTGTTTAGCATCAGTCTAAGTTGCAATACAACAGAGTAATGCTATTTATTATGACTAGTCTTTGCCTGTATGAATAGTGGAAGACCACAAATTCTTCCAATGTATCATTTGCGCAAGAAAACATCTTTTCCTCACAATAATGTGAGAGAAGGGGAGAAAGATGGGGGGAATTTGAATGGGCTTAAATTCTTTCTTTCCTACCCCACCACTCCAAAAGAAGAATTCTTCCCTGATCTCTAAAAGTTAATCAGCTCTTCATATGCAGATAAGATTAATTTTTTAAAATTTTTTTTTTTGTATGATACGTGCACAATTTTCGTAAATGAAGGCCAGTGAAACTTAATTAAGGCTTTTTGTCTAACTATTGTCACGGATCGCATGGCAGTGACATGAGATTGGGCATGACACGGGAATGTCATGGCACCAAGTGGGAAAATGAGTTAGACCTATGGTTGATTAGGTCTA